GAGAGTGGAAAATTTCATGTTAGTCCAGAGGGATTTCTTACCATCCGTGATGTTGGAACAGCTGATGAAGGTCGATATGAATGTGTTGCCCGGAATACCATAGGATACTCGTCTGTTAGTATGGTGCTTAGTGTAAATGGTAAGATACATTATTCAGAGGTATGAGTTAAATTATTAGTTTTGTTCTAATTGCATGAAGTGCAAATGAAAAAAGTTTACAAAATACTATATTTTTGTATACATTCATATTTGTCTTTTTGTCCTAGAAATCTCTCTCTCTCTTCCTTTTTTTTTCCATGATTGAAGTCATGCAACTGCTTGCCACAGGTGTGAGTAAGGTGGGACTATGTCAACGAAAATGTCTCTAGGAGTTAAGCTTCAAAACAAACAATGCTTTGGGCTCAAGTCAGTCTTTCAACTTTCTTCTTGAGATATTATTTGGACCTATTAGAATTTGCTAGTCAAATATACAGTCTGATCTTTAGGGGTAACTTGACAAAAAGTCTTGACATCTTAAAAGGAGCACTTACAGCACTCAGTTGAAAATTAGGCTTCAACCATTGTGAAAGAAGTCAGGAAAGGCATACTGACCTTAAGAAGCTAAAGGAGAAAACTAAGAAGAGGAGAATATTTGAGTTTATTCTAGTTATTTGAAAGTAATAATGGCAAATAATTGTTGTCAATTAATACTGTGTAATAATTGGTGGTAAAGCAGCCAAAGAGGCTAAGGAAATAACTTTGTTACAAAGATTGACCCTATTGCTTTTCTGATTTACTGACTAAAACTGCTGATTTTGCAGATTAATTTTGATGGAAAATAAAAGAAGACTGTATGGTTTTTTTCTTTCAGTAGAAAATACGAGTCAGTATTTTGTATCTTTGAAGACTAAGTATAGATCAGTGATTTCTTCAACATATTGAATATTGTTTGCCAGTTTTATTTCTGATACTCTGTACTTTATTTACTAAATTTTTAAATACATATCAGTGATGCCATGATATCAATCACATGGTGTCAATAAAACTGTAATGTTCCCTGACTTAAGTTGCTTTTAGTTAACTATCAATCGATATCTTCCTCTGCAAAAAATAATATTTCTTTAATCTGTAAAGGTGATTCCGGAGAGAAAAATTGTATGGCTAGGAATCATTCAATAATAAGTTATCATCTGCATGTATGAAGTCTGCGAAAGAAGGGAAGTCCATAGAAATCAGTTACTCTGGAGATGCATAGCAAAAAAATGTTTTTGTTTAAAAAAGATTAGCCAGATCTCAAATCAGTAAGAGCTCTGAAAAATGCAACCATGAAGTGAACTAAAACATGAGTGGAAACCACTTTCTTTCACTTAGTGCAGACGTCAACTGCTCATTCTCATCTGCTGAAATCACAAAACCTGGTGCTAACTGATCTGCAGTAACTAATTGTAATGTGGTTAATTTCTTGTAAACTGTAGCATCAAATCCTAAAATTAGTGACACTACCCTTGATTAATTGGCATTCAGTATGAAACCATGGATGATGTTTCTCCTTAAAACTATTGGGATATCAGATACTCCTTCTCTATGATTGCTTTAAAAAATGAAGCTGTCAGAGAAACAAGGAGGACATGTGGACAGATTATAAGTGCTGTATACTCTCTACCTGCATAGCGTTAAAAACAGCATAGCCAGAAATGCCTTAAAACTTGTATGTCAACATTTCTTTTAAACAACATAATGCTTTATGAATGTTCCTAATGCATAAAAGTATTGTCTTGACATTGAGATAGAGTAAAGACAAGTGTATAGAAGCTGGGGGACAGGTTTTGCTGGCCATGTTGGATAATATTTTAAAGATACTTTTCCCATTTTCTGCTGTCGTTTACTGTTGTTTTGTAAAAATCATAACTCCTCTGCTCCAGTGAAAAAGTATTGTGTGAAAAGCTTGCAGGGATCTTTAACTTTTAATATTTATCAGTCTAAAAAAAGAACAGCAAACAGCCTAAATAAAAGTAAAATATGGTATAGTTAACATCTGGCCAAGGTTTATGATTCAGCCCACATATACCATTCATTAATCAGAAAGCTTGCTCTGCTAGTGAACACCATGCTGGCATCTAATATAGACAACACTAGGGAAAGTAACCAGTCATTGGATTTGTACAGTCTGAAATGTTGCACTGTTCAGATGGTTCATTGCACACAGAGTCTCTAAGACAACTAAAATGAGAGTAGCAAACCTGTAAATTATATTTCTCCATAAAATAAGTAGCTTATCTGATAATATTTCTGTATGGTTGCTATGAAAAATGAAGCTGGCAAGCAAGGACGGTTGGTAGTTAGGACAAATCAGGAACTATTGCCCTCAGGCACCGTTTTGTGCATGCTAGGTGTATATTGTCAGCAGCCCAAAGCAGCTGGCCTAAGGGCACAGAAAGGGGCTTCATCTACAGCTATAGAGTGCCAGGGACTGTTTTATTTGATGGTATAGATGCTTAAGTTTGATTTACCTGGGTCTAGACTATGAAACTCATATAGACATAGTCTAAGCTGCCACTTATGAAGGAATAATGAAAAATTGCCTAGAAAAGAAAAAAAATCATGAAAAGGTTGCAAAGGTTTTGATGTCAGCTGATTTTGTACATCTCCTGATTTTATTCCAGTATATTTACTTTGGACTTTTCCCCTTCTTTACCCTTCTTCCTGTGTGACTTCTCCAATCTAAACACAGTCTGGAAATTGTTAGCTGTTGCCCCTGGATCTGGTATTTCTTAGTTTAGGCTGAAAGGAAGATTATTAGCCCTAGATAGGTTGTACAAACATCCAGCTGCAAGAGAGCACTGCATAAAAAGGCAGATGAGCTACTGCACAGATGCCGGTGCATAGATGGCTATGCATTAGTGAGTTTCCAATATTATGTAAAGATGTTAAATAGCTTTTAAGCATGTGATTTGTAACCCAGTATTAAAAACATAATTTTAATGTAGAAAACAAAGTAGGGATCAAAATAACTAAAATATAGCCCTTTAAAACTGATGTGTGCTGCTTATTAGCCTATGCTAATAAGAGAAGAGCAATGTTGATTTACTGTACCAAATAGGTATAGTAAATCATGTTCAGTGTGTAACACTTGTAGCACATGCCCGTAAGCTCTTTAAATTCTTATATTGAATTCAATACTAATTCAGTACTAGTTGAAATCAAAGGGGAAATTTGCATTGATTTCAGTGGATATAGGTCAGGCTCTTGATAGCAGCACCTGAAACCTGATAATACACGATGCCAGAAAAAAAGCCCTGAATATACCCTGATACATTTTTTCTCTGATCATCTGTTGTTTAAATTGTAGGTCTAATTAGTGGACAGTTAAACACATTTATCTTAACTTTATTTTGGTTTAGAGTTGTAAGCATGATGACTTCTAAACTTACGTTAACTTCTGTTTTAAATTAATTTTGTTCCTCTCTAATATGCTTTGGTAGAAGTCCAGAATGGTTAAGAATTTTATATTTGGACTAACTAATGCTTAAAGGACAAGGGTTTACTTTGTACAACTGAAATGATGTCGTGTCTAGACTCTGTTTTATAGAAGTATCTTTTTGTGTGGCCATTTTTGCAATAACACATGAGTTCCTCTTTCTATAGTCCCTAATGTCAGCCGAAATGGAGATCCTTTTGTACAAACATCAATTGTGGAAGCAATTGCAACTGTTGACAGAGCAATAAATTCAACACGTACCCATCTGTTTGACAGGTACCTCCTTTTCTTTTTAATATTGAGAAGTCAAAATTGATTTTGTATATGCTAGAAATAATGGAAAGTTTAATACCATTTTATTATTTAAAACTTACTTTATTATTTAAAAGATGTTGTTAACATCTGGTTATTTCTGAGAATACTAACAGTTTAGCGTGTAAGGATTCCTATTGTTTAAACACTCCTGTTGAGGTCTGTGTTCACTGCAGCAGTTTTTCTGCTGAGATGATGTGTATTAAAAGGCTACTAAATGTTTAATTACTACTAAGTATTTAATGGTTTATTATTTTACTTAATTTTTTCCTTTTTGGTTTGCCTTCCATTTTGAGATGAATAAACAAGGTATGTACTAATCCTGTTGCTGAGCATTTACACGATTTATGTAGTGTTGTTATTTTGTAACTCCTATGTACACTTACTTTTTTTTTCCAAATTATCTATCAGTCGTCCTCGTTCTCCAAATGATTTGCTAGCCTTATTTCGATACCCAAGGGACCCATACACTGTTGAGCAAGCAAGAGCTGGGGAAATATTTGAAAGGACATTACAGCTTATTCAAGATCATGTACAGGATGGTCTAATGGTTGACCTGAATGGAACAAGTCAGTACTCTTTCCTTATTTTTCTGTGTTGAAGTGTATTTTCCTTCTTAAGTCATTGTACTTCAAGAGACATTTATTTTCTGACTTTTGGTCCCAATTGCATAACTATTTCAGTGAAATCGGTGAAGTGTTTGCCTTTGCAAAACTTTACCAAATACATGTGTTTGGCCCAATTCAGTCCTTGGTTTGCACATTGTTCATTATGATGTAACTCTGTTTGAGCTCTCCAAACAGTGTTTTTATTTTTCTCATATTGACATATTAGGCAAAAGTTCAGATTCTTCTGCTGGTCAAAATTAGTATAATGGAAGTGCATAATGCATCGTGTTTGTTAGCTCCCTGCAAGTTAATTTGTCGGGACCATTGTTTTGTAGCAGAACAGACTTTCTGTTGTGTGTTAAAAATAAGCAGTATTCTGTTCTTGTTTCTTTAAGGAAAACCATGTAGTATTGGCATGCCTTGGCAAGGAGAAAAGATGACATAACATGAAGGATCTGTACTTTACAAACCAAGGTTTCTGCATGTACTGCAATAGTATTCAAAGAATTGTTACTTACTCTATAAGCGTGCATAGATCTTAGCTAATTGCTTTGTTCAACGCTGACCTGATGTAATGAAAAATACCGTTCTTGTTGCTTTTTATAAGTCACAAAAAAAAAGTGAGGTTTAACTGCTGCATTTTAGGTATTGCAGTCCAAGTTCAAATTTATGAAGTCCAGCTGGAGCATGTACAACTAATGTGTGTAGATATGTGTGTGGATAGGCTTGAAACATAGGACTGCAGCATTTGGAAATAATGACAGAGTTTTAGGAGAGTTTCTGAGACTTGAGACATAGCCAAAAACTACACTAAAAACTAGAGGAAATACTTTGACTTATTATATACTTTTTGATGCTTATAATTGAGTATTTATTGTAACTTCCGAAAACTTTAACTCTGACCGTGAACTAGGCAAGTATTTATAAGGCCAAAGACTGCAAGCTTTGTGGAGTACTGTAACATTTGCTCATAAAAGAAGCTTGTTACTCATTATTAGAGCTGAGTAAATAATTTGCAATGAATCGTTTACCACGAACACTTACTCAAAATTCTTTGAAGGCTGATGTTTTATAAGAGTTCTCTGATTAGATGCATGTGAAAGCATATTGAATATAATACTAGGAATATATGAAATGTCATGTATGAGAACTGGTTGACTACTTTTCACAAGGATTTGTAATAGTGAAACACCTAAAGTTTACCAGATATTGGCATTAAAGCATACAGATGCAAATTAATGAACACAAAATCAGGTAACTTTCTGTGATACTGGAAATTCTGTTGACAACCAGACATTGCTTTTCAGCCCTACAGAATCCACAGAAACCTGAATTTTAGGGAAACTTGAATAGTAAAATAAATCTATTTTCATTTAAATAGCCTAATGCTCAGATTTTTAATACGAATTTTTGTCCTTCCTTCATTTTATTTCAGAAAGCAGAGCCAAATGAAGGGTGTTATTTAGTACTTTTGCATTGAGAACAGTTGAGAAACTTGACAATTTCCCATTCAGAAACTTTTTTTAAAATGTAAAATCTTGGAATACCCCAAGGAAAGGCTATGGAGCCAAATTCTTCTCTGTAGTGCCAGACTGTATAACAACAGGAATGGCCACAAATTGCTGCTTTGGAGGTTCAGATTGGATGTTAGGAAACAGTTTCTCACCAGAAACCCAGTGCAGCACTGGAAGAACTTATTCAGAAAGGTCGAGGAGTCTCAGTGTTGGAAGGTTTTCAAGCCCACTTGACAGGTATACAGCTGAGCTGATCTAATCCCAGAGACAGCTTTGCTTTAAGCAGGAGCTTGGTATAGATAAGACATCCCTTCTAATCAGTATTTCTATGACTCTATGAAACATCTTTGCAGTTTGAAAAAAACTGAATATCGGTAATATTGTGTGAATTGAGCTGGTCAGCTTCTAAGCAGTGGAAATAATCACAGCCATTGAAAAAACCAGCCAGAGTTAGTGCCTACAGTGTGAGAGGTAATTAGAGATTAGAGATTGGCATTAGAAAGCCATCAGATCTAATCCATTATGAGACATTGCATCCCCCTTGAACTTCTAAACAGAGAAACTGAGCCTTTTTTTAAAAATTGGTACTGAAAGGCATTCCACCCGAAACATTGACAGTCAAGTTTTGCTCACAACTTCATTTCAGAAATGGGGATGGTAACCAGAATAACCACAGCAGGCAAATGTTTATTTGAATGAATAATGGTCATAAAAACTCCATGATGAATGAAGATCATTTAAACAGGAGTGTTATTATAAAGAAGATATGTTTTCTTGGTGTAGCTTTAGAATTAAACTGGCCTGGTAGCTAGCATATTATAATATGCTATCAATAATATTCTCAAAGAGTGTATTTTGCTACATTACACAGTGGCTTTTACTGGTTTTGCTCTGTGGTTTGTTTGTCTTTTTCCTAGTCTGGAACATTCCATAAAATAATTTCTGTATGTCTACATGAGCATGTTAGTTTTGCCTAGTGCAAGCACTAGGTCTCTGATACCTTTGCTTTGACTTGTAAACCATGTGGAGTACTCGTAGCCTGAGGCGGAGAAAACAGATCCCCTGGCAGAGCACTGGTCCTGTCCCAGCTGGGCAGCTGTGAGCCATCCAGTCCCTTTCAAGTCAAAGAAAGGGAGTCTTTAGGTGGTTTGTTTGCAATTGCCCTGCATTGTAGAAATTGGCAGGGAGCCAGTGTGCCTAGCATACCTTTACGTGTTGAATTTAGATGAAGACCAGTGTCTTTACAGGCACTCTGGGACTGACCTCGGGACTAAAAAGACCATTTCCTGACTGTATGCAATTAGCCAGCACCAACCTCTTGCAAAACTGCATTCAGTTCATATTCTTGAGTGATTATCAACATGGTGGGAACCCCTCAAGCCTGTGGGAACACAGTATCACTGTGCACTCACTCATTTCCTTTTTTCCTTTTGCTTTTATGCTGCTTGTTCAGTTTCTTCCTGACTGCAAACTTTGCAGATCAAGGTCCATCATGGTGTGTATTGTTCCTAGTTAGCTAAACATACATCTGCACTGCCAGATAGTTCACCTCCAGGAATTTCTCCTGGATCCCGGAACCTCATTCATCCACACCATATAACTCAAGATGTGTGCCTTTTGCTTTGGATCAGCAGCTCCCACTTGAAGTGAATCTCCCATTTGTCACCACTTACTGTGCTTTGCTGTGGTTTTGATATGGCCTTGAACAGTGTGGATTCTTTTCAGCTTAAGTGAAAAATGAGGTTCAGGGCTACGCTCTGTCCAGGAGGACAAAGTAAAGCTTTTCTGAAGGAAGCCTACTCGTATTCCACAGTAGGCATGTCTTTCTCAGCAGCAAAACTTTCACTTTACAGACGCATTTCTGTTGGTCTTCACAAGTTGATAATGTAGATGTAGCCCAAATTAATGACAATTTTTTCTTACATTGAATCCAAATGTTACTAAGTAAAAACAATTTTTAGAGTGGTCCCTAATAGGCTGCAAGGGCAAGGCACAGCCTGACTGTTCTCCTGTTTGCAGTCATCCAGTGCTGTACTAAGAGGCCTAATAGGCAGGAAGGGCAAGACACAGCCTGACTGTTCTCCTATTTGCAGTCACCCAATGCTGTACAGTCCTTCCACATGCTGTCATACCACAGCAGAGATCATGCAACACATAGTCTTGGTTTGTGTTTCCAAAATCATAATTCTAATGAATTACAGTATATATTTTGTGCATATTATTTTTCTGTGAACTGAGAAGGAATGCAGGAAAGTGGTAAGTATGTTTCAGTCCCAGAGGTGAATGGTGTGGATTGAAGAGGAAACCCGTGCCAAGTGCTACACAAACACCAGTTTTCTTTAGAAATTATTTCTGGGTAATGTGAATATGAGTTACTCCACACCACTTGTCCTAGAGATTGCTCCATGTTTAGCTATATTGCTGGGGGCTATTTTCTTTTGTAGTTTTTCTTGATTTTTTTCCTTGAAATTCTGCAACTTTCACTGTAATAAAGCAAAGCAAAATAGTAATGTTCAGTGAATTATCAAGTCTCAAAAGATAGCTTTGAAGTCCATGTAAGTGTTACTGACAGTTTTTTAAATGCTTTTGCTAACACATAAAAAATGTTCCATTTGTCTCAATATGAGGCTTTTATTTCTGAAAATATCTTTGCTTTCTTAAGTGACCAATTACATAATGATTTCATTTTGCAAAAGCTGTACTTGAGTTGGCATTTTAGAGTTTCCTCCTGACCTAACTGCAGTCAAATTGTTGTTCAAATGCTCAAATATACATACATGATTTTTATTGTTCTGTTTTTAGAATAGGGATGTTTAATCCGGTGGGAAATGTAATATAGTAAAATAACATTTCAAATAAATTCGTGATCTTTGGGGCCCATGAGTCTATGAATTGTTTGATTGTTCTCTCTGTCTCTTTTCTGGTTTCAGGTTATCACTATAATGACCTTGTATCCCCACAGTACTTGAATCTGATAGCTAATCTCTCAGGCTGTACAGCCCATCGACGAGTGAACAACTGCTCAGATATGTGCTTCCACCAGAAGTACAGGACACACGATGGAACGTGCAACAACCTTCAACATCCCATGTGGGGTGCTTCTCTGACAGCCTTTGAACGTCTGTTAAAGTCAGTCTATGAAAATGGATTTAATTTGCCTCGGGGAATTGAACCCAGGAGGCTCTCTAATGGTTATGCACTCCCAATGCCTCGCTTGGTTTCAACTACTCTGATTGGAACAGAAACAGTAACTCCTGATGACCAGTACACTCACATGCTCATGCAGTGGGGTCAGTTTCTTGACCATGACCTTGACCTCACTGTGGCTGCCCTAAGTGAGGCCAGGTTTTCGGATGGTCAGCATTGCAGTTCCGTTTGTACAAATGATCCTCCATGCTTTTCGATCATGATACCACCGAATGATCCCAGAGTTCGAAATGGTGCACGCTGCATGTTTTTCGTACGCTCCAGTCCAGTTTGTGGAAGTGGCATGACATCTCTTCTGATGAATTCTGTGTACCCACGTGAACAGATCAACCAGCTGACTTCATACATCGATGCATCCAATGTGTATGGCAGTTCAGACCATGAAGCACTGGAAATCAGAGACTTGGCAAGTCAAAGGGGTCTTCTGAGACAGGGCATTGTACAGAGATCTGGCAAACCCCTTCTTCCATTTGCCACTGGCCCACCAACAGAATGTATGAGAGATGAAAATGAGAGCCCAATACCCTGCTTTTTAGCTGGTGATCAGCGCTCTAATGAACAATTGGGTCTTACCAGCATCCACACATTGTGGTTTAGAGAACACAACAGAATTGCCACAGAGCTACTGAAACTAAATCCACACTGGGACGGTGACACAATATATCATGAAACACGCAAAATTGTTGGTGCAGAAATGCAACACATAACATTTAGTCACTGGCTCCCTAAGATCTTTGGAGAGGTAGGCATGAAGATGCTTGGCGAATATAAGGGTTATGATCCCAGTGTTAATTCTGGCATAACTAATGAGTTTGCAACTGCCGCTTTTAGGTTTGGTCACACACTCATTAATCCTTTTCTGTATCGACTGGATGAAAACTTTGAACCTATTCCACAAGGCCATCTACCTCTTCATAAGGCATTCTTCTCTCCATTTCGGATTGTAAATGAAGGAGGCATTGATCCACTTCTAAGGGGATTTTTTGGTGTTGCTGGTAAGATGCGTGTCCCGTCACAATTACTCAATACAGAATTAACAGAAAGACTCTTCTCCATGGCACGTACTGTGGCTTTAGATCTGGCAGCTATGAATATTCAGAGAGGCAGAGATCATGGAATTCCTCCCTACCATGATTTTAGAGTTTACTGTAATCTTTCTTCAGCTCAGACTTTTGAAGATCTGAAAAATGAAATTAAGAATCCTGAAATCAGGGAGAAACTTAGCAGGTGAGCCTGAGGTGAAGAAAAACATTCAATAATCTAAATATGCATGCAAAATTAGTAGCTAAGTGTCTTATCTAGAAGAAGATACTTGTTAAGAAATAGGGGAAGGTATATTTTAAGAAACTTCCATCAGCACCAGGAAATAGATGTGAAAAATTTCACATGCAGATAATTTCTCCACTTCTACATCTCTGCAAAAATAAGAAGTTAATATTTATACTGTATGTGTTTATGAAGTTACTGATTTGAAATGCCTGGTTTTGTAAATGCTGTTAAATATGAATGTTATTTCAGTGTAGGGTCATATTTAATGCCAGCCTCATGCAATTATTTACATGTTCAGTTCCATCCATTGCATATAGTGAAACAAATGGCAGTATTGCTCACCGTACTGTCATGTGGACATCCTTCACTTCCAGTAATCTGTTCTTCATTAGTTTGCATGTTTGAAAATAAGTCTTCACCTTCCTCCTACCCCTAGCTTATCCGCACAAAAGCGGAGACTAATTCTGTCTTAGCTATGGTAAAAGTGTGCAGAGGGGCGGGAAAGAGAAGCTATAAAAATGAAACAGTTCCCAGAAATCAGAAGAAAGCTACCGGGAGAAAGGAAATTGCAGGGTAGACTTGTAGACCCCTGTGGTGTTATACACATATACAACCTACATTGCAGAATTTCTTGCATATGTCTTGTTCACAAAAGATGTACCACTGTCACTGGCGTTTTTTAGTGTGTGTTATTAGTATCTCTTGCCCTTAGCTTTACCACATACTTAATGTTTTTGTAAATGTAAAATATTTGTAATTCAGTATTTGTGTTTTTCAATTTATAGGTTATATGGTTCTCCACTGAACATAGACCTATTTCCTGCACTAATGGTAGAAGAATTAGTTCCAGGGAGCCGACTGGGGCCAACTTTGATGTGTCTGTTAACCACACAGTTTAGGAGGATTCGGGATGGAGACAGGTAAATTGAAATACCATGAAAACCAAAATTAATTTTAAATTAATGATGTTTAATAACAGTTGCAATGTCATGTTTCCAAATCATACTCCATTTTATGTTCATTTATGATTTTAATATATAATTGAAAAGATGAAGAATACACATTTAAAACATTATTAGATGCCATTATTATTTCTTTAAATCTGTCACTTTTCATGTGAATATGTCATTCTGACGCCCATAAAGCAGAAATGAAACACGTTGGAGTGAACGCCCCCAAAGTTCTACAGTGCATCTGGGGACTTTGATTGTACATTTGTTTTCTTTTTTAATAGTCATTCCAAACCCAAAAACTTCAACACACACTGACTTTCCTATTACCAGATATTCAAGTCGCTTACCTTTTTGAAAAGGGCATGATACTTATCTCCTTTCGTTGTTATTTTAGTTACTTTATTGGCAAAGAAATTGTGGTTGTTGAAACACTTCCATCATCTCTGTTACTTAAGCATAGGTTGAAAAAGTATCACTCTGTTTATAAACCCACTACATATTTCTATACAAGCAGCCTGTGCATTAAATGAGTGTTAAAAGCAGATAGGTTAACCCAAAGAACACAATTTAATGGTTGTTTATAAATTGCTATATATGCACATTATAAGTAATTTCTCATTTTCAGTTTCTAGAGTACATGAAATAATAGTATTGCTATTGCAGCAGCCAGAAATCCTTTATACAATTTCAGCACACTGGTTCAGTATCTTAAAATTAACATTTATCTCATTTGAACACAATTTGCGACCTAAAACACTGATCTTTTCATGGCATGAGGGTAGAAGGACATAGGCTGATTGACCCCATCCTAGTGAAAGAGAAACACAGGAAGAATTAGGGAATTAGATTTGTTTCACTTTATTTAATGTTATTTTCTTTTTTTAAGTTACCAAATTGCTACTTAAGATAGTATAAAAGCTTTTTTATTTCTGTAGTCAATAACCCAAACCTTTTTGTATGCTTTTTTTTAAAAAAAAGCCCCAAACTTTATTAGATAAAATCTGTTTAAAAATTAAGCTGTGAAGCATAGAACTCTCATGCCTGGAGGCAGAAAGTAAATTCAGAAATATATGCAGTATTACCTACAGGTGGCTGGTGACAAGTAATTAGTTGTGTCACATCAGGATATTGATACTGCTTTTTTGGGTGTATCTGTTGGCATTTTTTCAGCAAAAGTGACTTTTCCTGGTTTTTTGGAGGGTTTTTTTTTTGTTTGTTTTTCCAAAACAACGGCAACAACAGTAGAAATTACAAGAAAACACTGAATATTTAGGAAGTGGGATTCTGCTGTCCAAGGAATACAAATGTTTTGAAACAACATGCCAGCAAATAGTAAAATATTATTCGACATAATGAAAGCAACTCTCACACCTTTGAAAAGCCCTTACAATGGGCAGAGGATCAAAGCTAACAGCACCATGCAAAACAAATGTGCCTGTGCAGGGAAAGGGACTGATGTTTGAAGGAAACTTAACTTCATGTCAAGATGGAAATTTCAGAATCTGATCCTAGTACTTTGAAATTCATTGGCTATTGTCCATTGGCCTAGGAAAATGATACACTAAGTAGGTAAAATGAAATTTGTTGACCATTATTCTAATTTTACTATAAAATTGATTCTGATTTCGCATAAAGTTTAAAGAGCCCCCTATATTTTTTGGGGTTTTTTTTAAATAGATGGGGAAAAGTATCAATATTTAATTATAACTCTACATTTTGTAAGAAAGAAACAATATCACAGTGAGCAGTTCTTATGTGTTAGAATAGTGTAAAATGTTTTCAAATCCCAGAGAGTAACTTAAGACATGTTCATTTCCAGGGGAGGCTTGTTTTTTGTAGTAATGTATTGTTTATATTTGCTATTGATAACAAGCTTTTAGCCCTTTGTGTATGGAAAATGAATTTTTTAAAACCATAGCATTTCCTCCTTGAATATAATGAATTAACGGAGCATATGCTATAGAGGCCCTGAATCAGTATAGTCATTAAAATAGTTTAGCAGAAAGAAAAAGTCATTAGTATTAAATCATCTCATTTTTATTTATAATAAGCTAGGTGTAGCTTAACCATTCTTCTAATCTCAGCAATTCCATCAAAATGTTTTCATACCCATAGGAAATTTGCCTGAAGGAAGAATTTATGGTCATTTAAGCCTTTTCCTTAGAAGAGCTCTGAACTTGGTAGTCATGCCATATTAGATGTCCAAAGATACCCCAAGACATCTAAATTAGACTAGAAGAGAAATCAAAGAATTCATTGAAGATTTCAACCCTTTCAGAGTCAGCATGGCAACAAGTAGGGCTGAAGTGATACCAGGCACTTATATTTTGGCATCTGGATCACTCCCTTGATACAATGTGAAGTTGAGAACAGGATTTAGGAAATAGATAATTTCATTCTGAGCACAGTATTCAAATACCTTTGTATTTTTTTCACTAGCAAACTTGTCTTTTCTGTGAGATTACAGGTTATGGTATGAGAACCCGGGTGTGTTCACGCCTGCTCAGCTCACTCAGATCAAGCAGACATCTCTTGCCAGAGTTTTGTGTGACAATGGTGACAACATAACAAGGGTACAACATGATGTCTTTAAGGTGGCTGAATTCCCACATGGATATAGTAGCTGTGAAGATATTCCTAAACTGGACCTCAGGATGTGGCAAGATTGCTGTGAAGGTCTGTATACAGGTGGATTTGGGTGCATTAATGTTAATGCACATTCTTAAGTGTCTGCTCATTTTATTTTAAGAAGGTATTTGACTGTTGTTTGCTTTTTGCTAAGACACTACAAACTCAGATCTGGAGCACAGCCCTTTTTAAGTGGGATATAATTCCATATTTTGTATTAAATAGATGCAGTATAATAATCACATAGATTTGAGTATTGCATGGTGTAGATAACTGTTTTGTTGTTTTCTTTCTTTTGTGGTTAAATACTCCTGTTCGTTGCCATCCCCTTCAAAAGTTAGGACAGTGGGGTGTTTTGGTTTTCTTCAAAAATAAGCTTCTTTTTTCTCCCAAAATAGGGTTTACTTGGCTGCATGAAGCATAGGACACTGCTTGGTGGCCTGCATGTTGGCTTCTCTCTCGCATAAAGATTTTCTGCATGGCCACTCTTTAGCCATCATCACATCAGACTTCACTGCATCTGTAACACAGTTAGAATCCCTTCCCAAGAGAATCTTCTGGATCATGCAGAATGATTTTTAGTAGCATCAACAACAAAATACTTCAGAGGACAATGACCTCTCTTTATTGAGATCTCCTTGGCAATGTTGTTACAATTTTCTTTTGACAAAACTCAGATGACATGCTCAGGCTTGAAAAGTATATTCAGGAACTCTGGGAACTTCACTGTTGAACTCTGACTATCTAAAAGTTGCTGTCAAACAAATTACTAAATGGAAAAAACTTGCTCTTATTTGAGAGGATAATAGTACTACTAGTTGATGTTTATTAGAGTCTTACAATATCCCTAGTAAGAACCTAGCTTTCAATACCAATATCATATAGATTTGCTGATGAAAAGTATCCAAATCTGTGTTCTTCATCTTTTCTACTACTGATTCTCTTGTTTACTACTGCTGAGTAGGATATTCAATATTCTGTCAAAAGATCTGCATGAATAAAGAACCAGTCACTTCCACTAGTGTCCATTGAACTATTTTTGGTAAGATATAATTGGCCAATGGCAAAGAGTTCTTTTGTGACATAGCTTAGAATTTAAGATAGATGGTAAAAGTTAAACTGATGGAGGATGTCCCTTCAATTTGCTACATACGTAGTAGATGCCAAGGAAGGATTCTAACAGGTGTGACTGTACCAAAGAACAACCTCATAGATTTTAATACGATCTTCCAGAATCTTTTCCAAAAATCCCTTTCATGTGCCAGAAACATTGAGAGAAAATCAATTATCACCCTTCAAATGCTTTACCATAAATATAGCATATTCTACCAGTTCAGGATAAGTTCACTTTGCCATGGTTTGTGAAGCCTGACAGTTTCACAAATACATTAATTATGTTGATTTGAAAAAATAGTAAAGCTGTTCTGAGAAATTATGTGTTGGTTTTCTAAATGTTATCACTGAGACTTCTAAAGCAGATGTTATCTTTGGAAAATCTTTAGAGTATTCATCCATTCAACACCCTAGCTTGTATTTTCATTCAAGAATGTTGCTACCAGACAGTAATACTGCATGCAGTGCAGTTAGACAACTGCCAAGCAAAAGAAAGGGTAAATAAGTAATGTTCTTTAAAAAAATTGCCAATATGTATCCCCTTTTTGTGAACTCTTGAAGCCTTGCAGAGGCTAATGAAGGAAAAGCAAGGTATGCATGGCTTGAACTGCCTTCTTGCATGGATGAATGATTGTGATGTTTTCTGTGGGAATCCAGTTGAAGCAAATAATTTAAAATATTTCTTCTATGGCACTAGGGACTTGCCACTCCTCTGAGGTGGGGGTCATACACTCAGAAACAGCTCTTCCTTGGAGCTGAATACATTCTGGTGCTTTGTTTCTTTGAACTTATTATTGTTTATTTTTTAAAAGGAAAAAAATCATTCTCCACATTAAAATGCTTCTAATGAAGTTCTAATTACAAATGTCTTAATTTAAAATTTAGAGTACAGAATGCTGTTCATTGCACCTTATGTGTGTTTCATAAGTGACTCATATGTTCAGCTTTTTCAGTGTGGTTAAAAATGCATCTGGTTTTGTTATCCTTCCTGTTTTGTTAAAGTCAAAATACTTTTCCATATGAAGAATAGAAAAACTACTCTCCTTCCTAACTCTACCTCCTCCCCTCCTGTGGCCCAGGGATAGGGACTGGGGACTGTGATCAGTTCATCATAGTTTCTGCCACCGCTCTCAGGGAGAGGAGTCCTTCCCCTGCTGCAGTGTGGGGTACCTCCCAGAGGAGATAGCTCTCCACAAACTTCTGGCTACAGTTCTCCACTAACTGCTGCAGCGTGGGTCACTTTCCACAGGGTGCAGTCCAGTCTCTCAGGGACAGCCTGCTTCAGCATGGGTTCCCCACAGGATCACAAGTCCTAACAGGAAATCTGCTCCAGTGTGGGTCTCCTCTCTCTGCAGGTCCCTGTCAGGAGCCTGTTCCATCATGGGCTTTCCATGCATCCCTAAACCCAGCTCCCTCAGCATTTCCTCGTGAGACATCTGTTCCAGAACTTTTATGAGCCTCGTTGCCCAGAACTGAACAGGGTACTCGAGGTATGGCCTGTCCAATGCCACATACAGGGGGATGGTCACTTCCCTAGTCCTGCTGGCCACACTATTGTTGATATAAACCAAGATGCCATTGGACTTGGCCAGCTGGGCACACTGTTGGCTGATACTGAGCTGAGCTGTCAACCACCACCCCCAAGTCCCTTTCTGCCAAACAATTCTTGAGCCACTCCTCCCCCAGCCTGTAGCACTGCGTGGGGTTGTTGTGTCCCAAGTGCAGGACCTGGCACTTTGCCTTATCAAACCTTACGCAGTTGTCCTCAGCCTATTGATCAAATTGGTCCAGGTCTTTCTGTAGAGATTTCATACCCTCAGGCAGATTGGCACTCCCACCCAACTTAGTGTTGTCTGTAAATTTACTGAGGGTACACTCAATTCCCATGTTCAGATCATCAATAAAGATGTTAAACATGTCTGGCCTCAGTACTGAGCCCTGGGGAACACCACTAGTGACTGGCCACTGATTGGGTATGGCTCTATTGACCACAACTCTCTAGGCCAGTCAGTATTTTACTCATTGAAGAGTCTACCCATTCATGCTATGAGCAGCCAGTTTTTTCTAGAAATATTCTGTGGGAGACAGTGTCAAATGCTTTACTGAAGTCCAGATAGATCACATCCACAGCCTTCTCTTCATCTACTAATCAGGTCACTTTGTCATAGAAGGAGATCAGATTGGTGAAGCAGGACCTTCTCTTCATAAATCCATGTTAGTTGGGCTTGATCCCCTGGTTGCCCTGCATGTGCATTCCTCAGTGTGATGAATTCTACACCTGGGACGGGGCAACCCTGGCTGTACATACAGACCAGGGAATGAGATACTGGAAAGTAGTGCCACAGAAAGGGACCTGGGGCTTCTTGTTAATGGCAAGTTGATTATGAGTTAACAGTGTGCCCTGGTAGCCAGGAGGGCCAACCGTATCTTGGGGTGCATCAGGCAAGACATTGCCAGATGGTGGAGGGAGGTGATTGTCCCACTCTACTCTGCACTGGTGCAGCCTCACCTTGAATATTTTGTGCAGTTTTGGGCATCACAATATCAGAAAGACAAAAAGTTATTAGAGAGTGTCAAAAGAAGGGTAATGAAGATGGTGAAGGACCTCGAGGGAAATCCGTATGAGGAGCAGCTGAGGTCACTTGGTCTGTTCAGCCTGGAGGAGACTGAGGGGAGACCTCATTGCTGTATACAGCTTCCTCACAAAAGGAAGTGGAGGGGCAGGCACTGACCTCTTCTTTCTGGCAACCAGCGAGAAAACCCGAGGGAGCAATCTGAAGTTGCATCAGGGGAGGTTTAGGCTGGATATTAGAAAATGGTTCTTCACTCAGAGGGTGGTCAGGCACTGGCACAGGTTGCCTCGGGAATTTGTCAGCACCATGCCTGACAGAGTTCAAGAAGTGTTTGGACAATGCTCTCAGCCACAGGAGCCAGGAGTTGGACTAGATTCTGTGATTTTGTGGTAGCATGCAGAATGATCTTCTCCATGACCATGCCTGGAACCGAGGTTAGTCTTATAGGCCTGTAGTTCCCCCGATCCTCCTTCCAGTCATTCTTATAGATGGGTGTTACATTTGCTAATTTCCAGTCAGCTGGAACTTCTCCAGTTATCCAGGACTGCTGATAGATGTTTGCATGTGGTTTGGTGAGTTCTTTTGACAGTTCCGTCATTACCCTGGGGTGGATCTCATCAGGGCCCATGGACTTGTGAGTGTCCAATTGGCATAGCAAGTCATTACCCGTCTCCTCCTGGATTATGAGGGCTTCACTCATCTCCCCATCACCAATATTCAGCTCTAGGAGCTGAAAATCCTGAGGGCAACTGGTCTTAATATTAAAGACAGCGGCAAAGAAGGCATCAAGTACCTCTGTTTTTTCTCATTCCCTGTCACTAAACTACCCTCTACTTTTAGCAACTGATAGACACCTTTCTTGACTCTCCTTTTGCTGCCAATGTATTTATAAAAAATACTTTTGTTTTTGACTAGAGTGACCAAATCAAGTTCTAGCCTTATAAAGCCTTAAACAAATCATGATAAAACATGTTTAAATACACTGAATTTCATTAGAAGAGTTAGGATGCATCCTTAATCTGAGTTCATTTATACATGGTCTTTCAGTAGAATAGGCCTATATTTATGAACTCCTGGATTTTAAGACTGGACAAACAGTTATGCCAGATTACTTCTCTACTAGCCACATTAATCTCTTATTATACATTTCTCAGAATGGTCTTTCATCTTCAGTGAAAATACTAAGCAACACTGGCTAAGCACTAAATTCTGCAGGGAAAACAACATTTAAAAAAGTTAGCAGCACACTCAATGTGAGACTGCAGGTTGTTTCGTGACAATTGGAATTGTTCACCAAGAACTCCTCAAGTACCCAAATGATGCAATTTATGCCTGAACACATTTTCTCTTTACACAGATCTTGTTTGCTTCAGTTGGGTCATATTTATTTTTGCTTTCTACATTCAACTGTATCCTTTTACGTTTAAATTTACATTTAAAGACATGTCTGTTAGCTTAATAACAATTCAGTCTATGCCAGGATACTAAAATAAAGTTCCAGGATCTTAAATTTTGAGAATCACATCCTTTTTATCTTTGAACAGAAATGCATTTCACAGCATCCAGCATTTCAGTGTAATTACAAATTTTATTGAGAAAATCAATATTTTTATGCATATTTCATCCAAACCAAGAATATTTTATCTTTTTGAGGTATCCATGATCAGTAAAATGCAGTTCTAATTTATAAACACAAAATAAGGAGACTTAATGTATGACAGTGTTTTGTCTTTGCTACCAGGAGTCTCATGCTGGTAGCTGCCATCCCTAGTGATAAGCGACAGGGAAGCAATAGGCTTCAATCATTGTATTTGAATTCAAACTCCTGAATAAGTCCCCGGATCTAAGATCCCAGTCTGCTGAAGTCCTGCTGCAGGCAGTAGAGAAAGAGATGTCTCTAGAGGACAGTTCAATCTGCAGTCCCTTCTTAAGTCAATATTCATTGACTACAAAGGCAACATGTATAAGAAAGCATCCTAACGGAAGTGTCTCGGTGATTTCTGCAAATCTAGGCAGTTGAAGGATTTTTTTCATCCCTGTGCGCCGTTGCTGCCTTTCTAAGATACTGTTACCTTCACAGTCTAATGGGCAGAACAGTTCTTAGAGGCCTTATTTCTATAATTTCTGTGGATTTTCAGTCTGTCTGAATTTACTTTTTCTTACTGATGTTTAATATTTTTATTCAAAAAGCTTCATGTTTTTGATCTGCAAGAACTTCTAACTAGTCCTGTTTAATTTTTCTGCTGGAGAGGTTAGATTTTTTTGCTTTGGTTTGCTTTCTCCTTTATCTTCCTGTAGACCATCCAAAACCTATTCAGATCATGAAAGCCTGATATGTTTTTAATGTCTTTAGTATGTCATTAGCCATATATTAACAATTTATATAGTCATGTTCTGTGAATTATCTGGACATTTGCTTTCCCAGCAATGTCTTAACTTTCTGGTTGCAGACTGATCACAAAGCTCATTCTGTGAACATCTTTATTTTATTATAATTCCCTAGAATATCAGCTGGCAGAAGACAGTCTGAGTTGTTACTTTATCTTCTGCCTTCTATACCAGTATTAATTTTCCAGATGTTTAAATGTTTGTACAAAATACATCTGTTCCAATCTAAGCAGATTTCTGTTGGATTTTAGACCACCGGATTACATTTTTTTTGCTGCTGTTTAATTTATCATTTGTTAGAAAGTCTTATTCAACAGAAGAAATGAAGAAATGCAGTGCAGTGTGAAGGGATGTAACCTGTTTAGCAATAACAAAACCAGCTATTTTGAGTTTCATTTCATGTGAAAAGACATTTTCATACATTGTGCAATTCTTAAGTAGCTGCTTTGTGAAAACATATGCTAAAAAAAATCTTTTCACATCAGACATTTTCAGTGTTTCTCCTCTCTTTTACTGCTCCCACTGGCATGACTACAAATTCTTAGATATATACCAATGCTTACAGTAACAGCAACTTAATTCACTGCACTAAATCTCAGAGAATCGAGCTATGATCAAATAGATAATGATATGTGCTTTTCTTCACATTTCCTTAGTCTCTCAAGCTGCTTTGATTTAATCTACTGTTAGATTAATTCTTCCTGGCCCAGACTTTGAGAAGGGATTCACTGGCAATAAAGAATGCTCAATAATTCTGAATGCCAGGGGGTTTTCTGTCCAATTTTAATTATAGGTGCATTTTTAAAACCTTGTGGGAAATGGGGTTTTCTGAATATGTGGACATGGCTTTTTTATACAAATGGAAATGCCAGTTTCATCATGGAAAGGGTTGTTAAACATTGGAAAGGACTGCCTAGGGAGGTGGTGGAGTCACCATCCCTGGAGGTGTTCAAGAAACAACTGGACGTGGCACTTTGTGCCATGGTCTAGTCGACAAGGTCGGGTTTGGTCAAAGGCTGGACCTGGTAATCTCAGAAGTATTTTCCAGCATAAATGATGCTGTGATTCTGTGTGATTCTGTAAATGGATTATCTTGACACTCGTAGTGTAGCAATACGTAGCTTCTGGAAGAAGAAATTGTCCACAGAGAAAAAAATTCTTAGGTAGCTTTGAAACATTTGATATTTCTGCAGAAAATTAATTGGATTGGGTGTAGCTAATCTGTGGACACCTTAGACAGGCTGAAGAAAAGCAGAATTTTAGGCTTATTTTTCTACTGCTAAGGTACTCTTCATTAAAATTTTTTAAAAGATGGAAAGGATAAATTTCTTGGTTTAGGCCTTCTGAAAACTAGACCATTCTGTCCTGCATCTCTCAGCAGTGACATTCCTCTTTGTTGTACCTGAAACAAGAAACCAGGAACAAGAGTTGTTAATTTGGCAAGCTGACATATTTGAGTCTTCAAAAAACACAGATAGACAGGTCTGTGTACTTAGAGCTGTCACTGAACATATGGTTCTCATATTTACCAGTCTAAGGTGATAAAACCATCCCAGGATTTCAGACCTTTGTTTCTAAAAAGCAACCTAGGAATAAAAAAACAACGGGCCATTGTGATACTGTACTAAAAAAAAAAAAAAGTCTATATTATGTAAGATGACCCTAGGAGTTACTGAACAAAGGAGGATAGCAGAAACCTTTCACATATTGCTTCCAAGAGAAACAAGCTTCTGTGACACTCAGGAAAGTTTTAGGCAAAACATTGCTTCAAGAAAAAAACTAGTTCTCTCTCCAGTGGCCCTTCCGAGTGTGACCCCTTTTCTCACCATACTAAATATAGAAGTGTCTAAGGGTGTTCAAAAATGCCTTCATGCCAAGCATCTTAGAGTCACATCAGTCTGTTCCCATCTGAAAGAGCAAGAAGATCGTGTGAGAAACAGCATAACACACACAAAGAATGAACAATATGTTGGCAGTGAGTACTATCTAGTTCTTTGGTGGTGCTGTTTTTATAGGAGGAAGGTAATTCAAGAATGGGACAAACTGCAAGGAAGAAAAAAGGAAGGAGAAATTGTATAACTTGTGTCAAGAATGATCTGTAGGTATTGGTTATTTGCTTTCAACTAATAATCAGTACCTTTTTTTTTTTGCCAGTCATCTTTTTTTTTTTCTGTCTTATGTAATACTAAGTCATGACAAACTTAAGTTTTTCCTAACAGAGAAATTATAATAGTCTAATTTAAGTAAAAGTCCAATACAATTAAAACTAGTCCAAGACACTTATTTTTGTATAATCAGAGCAACTTTACATTTGTTTCTCAAGTTGCTCAGTTCAGCAGTGATTAGAGCCTTGTATACTGACTTGAAACTTTTTCAATAATTTATGTTAGTGCTTTAGGTATTCCATCTGAATTCCAGAAATATATTTTATAAAGGTTATTGACTTTCTGGATTAATTTGTTCTGGTGTAAATTAAGATAAACATTAGGGAAAATTGCATCTTCCCCTGTTTACTTGCTTTAATGGCTCATTTTACTAATACCAGACTTAGCTGGGATATGTTCAAGGCATTCTGTATTTCATCTTTTCCTTCTGTTTTAGCAGACTCTGATTCTAACAATTGATCCTGATGTTGGTTCCTGCTTCAGCCTGACCCAGTATAACTTTTAGTTTTAAAGCTTCTGTGAACAGAAATGAGAAAACATCTATTTTCTCATTGTCTCCACTCCGAAGTGATGCTGTTTTGTTTTCCTTTTCTTAAATGGGACTCCTTCCAAATACTCACTGTGTTAGGAAGGCTAAATAAAGTGAACTGAAGGAAAGACATACTTCATCCTGTCCTCTTAGCTTCTTAGGAGATTTCTGTCATAGATTATTCTCAGGCTTGAGATTCTTCAGTCTGTGGTGGAAAGTGTTTTAGGGTCTGGTGATATCTTCAAATTCCTCAAATTTAAAAATGGGGCTGGTCAACCTGTAAAGTGTGTCTGCAAATGTTCTCCAGGATTCAATTAAAAATTCTCTTTCAGATGCCAAAAATAAGAAATAATAATGCCTGGAATAGATGAGGAAGGCACAGCATGGGTTTTCTGCCATTATTTTTCTTCATACGTAGCTACCCCTTTTCAAAATCAGAATATAATTAAAAGCCAAGACAGTGGAAATTTCAGAAGTGAAAAGAATAGTGAAAGTAGCACTAGATAGGTTTGTGAAAATAGTGTTTATTTGTTTCACACTAAAAAGCTGCTCTGTGAACAATCATACTTTCTGCATAAATGTACCACTGAGACACATTCAGCTGCCATCGGCTGATTCCAGAAGGATCAGACTAAATGTTTGAATTTTCTTTACCAATTCAGAAGACACTGCAAAACCATATTAATAGCATAACTGCTGAAATATTCAGTAGTTTATAATGTGCAATTTCTTGTCTATTTACAGACTGTAGAACTAGAGGACAGTTTAATGCATTTTCATATCACTTTCGGGGAAGACGTTCTCTTGACTACAGCTTGCAGGAGGACAAGCCCTTGAAGAAAATGAAAATGGTCAAAACAGTAAGGTGAGATTTTTTTCTTTTAGGAGTATAAAAGAAAATTTGTTTTCAAAATGAATTGAAACTAAATGATTCTGTTTAAGTGCTGGACCAGTGTCTGCTTTTACCAGTGTCTGCTTTCTTGAGTTTATGATTGATGTGTTTCATCCTGACACTCCTGTATATCTGCTAACAATAACCTGCCTTTTTTTTAACCTCAATTTTGTGTAAGATTCTTTGTAAGTGACATAGTATAATGCTTTTCATGAAAAAACTCAGTAATGAAGTATAATTTGGGGATTTGAAATTCCACATTCCTACTGTGCCTGCAGTAACCAAACTAAATTATTTCATTTCCTCTTTGGAGTTGCTAGGTCCTCCTGTAGTAATAGGAGGAAACCAAATATTGATTACACTGGTATAAGATTTTGTGATAATGGTAATCTTGCTTATGGTACCAAAATACTCAGAGCAGAAACAGAGGAGTGCTACAGACAATATTGTTTATAACTCCCTAATCCTCAAAATACTGTATCAAAAGAGTCAATCACAGTATCAGTCATAAATTGTCAGCTGCACAGTGTTCCTACTCCTTCCAGGGAATCAAAACTTACATATGACCTAGTGGCTTGAAAAGAGTTTTGCTCAGACCAAGCATTTCTTGTGAAGATCCTTCATGATGAGCAAACTTGTATTATAGCTCTTTCCATTTAGCATGCTTTCTTTCAGCAAATAAAATTATCTGCTTGTCTGATGATGCTGACCAGGAAGTCTGCCCACTCAGTCAGGGAAAGCATCTGCATAGATGTGTAGACAGGTAAATTTATTTCAGCAATTTCAAATATTCATGCAGATGTTATAGCACTGAAGAAACATCACCATTATATTTCACTCAATTCATAGGAATCTGTCCTGAAGTAACAGAGCCTTTAGGTGTTTAGGATTTTAGACAAGACAGCAACTGAGTATGAAGTTGCTTATAGATAATATGAGAAGGAATGTTCATTTGAAGTAATCCTTGAAGAAAGATGTTTTGTCTGTCTTTGCAAGCTAAAAGTTTTCAAATTTACAGAACAGGAATTCACTTTTTAAAGATGCTAGTCCCATGGTTCTACAACTAAAAGGGTTAAATTAAATAAAAATGAAAGCATGATAAAATAAACACTTTTATCTGAGTAGCAGCTTGTTTTTGTTAGTTTACTGTTTGACTGTGTTTCAGAAATGAAGGTCAAAATATATAGCAGTCCAATTATTACTTAGGACTACAAAATAGTAAATTTACAATGTTTTATTTAAAACACAAATAAAGCTAAAGCAACCTCTGTCCTTTACCAGTTTCATCAGTTCTCATGCTCATTGTATTTTAATTGCGTTTGTGATGAGAAGATTTTTTCTCCTTCTTTTTCCTTCTCATTTTCAATAACTTGAGCAGGTGGGGAAGATTAAGCATTTTGTTATACAGCAGCAGCTGGTTTACTTGAATTTTGGCATGTTGTGTTATTTGGAGTTCTTTTTCTTTAATTTAGATGAAAAACTATGGGAATCTAAGTAGCTTGAACCCCTGCCAGTAAGTGCTGTTTTAATTTATGCAGAAAGATTATAAATCCTGGGCCCTGTTATATGCTGGAATTTCTTTGCCAGTTCATTTTTTGGGTATCCCTTAGCACTGGAGGAGGCATGCTAAAAACAAAATAGGAATGCTTGTATGGATTCAAGAACTTCAATGTAGTAAGTTACTTAAAAATTAGTGTTATCCTTAGTTTTGGATACATGTTTTGTTAAGTGATTCTAGATAATATTATTCCAGATAATATATTATTATTAGTTATGGACAGTTCTTTTGATGACTCAATCTCATCAACAGATTGAAATGATTGACACAATTAATGTTGTACATCTGTTATCAGATATCAGCTGGAAACTCCTGTAGACAAGAGAGTTTAGATTTTGTGTACTACAATCAGTATTGATTTCAAATGTTTGTTAAAATGGAATACAGGAATATGTTCATATCTAAAAGTACTTCTCATTTATTTATGAAAACCAACTTTTTCCTTTTTAAAGTCATGTTTCTTTAAATGCACATTCTGCTAATGAGCATATGGCAGAACAATCTATGGTTCAGAATGTGAAATGTGAATTTCCTATTTGGAAGTAACACTTTTTAAGACTCTCTCACTTTTGTTGCTTTTGTATTGGAGGCTCAAGAGTGAATTAAAGTAATGCTCTACAGTGTCACTGATGACAACTTTGTGTATACCCCTACATTAAATACTTAATTTTTCTAAGTAAAAGAATTTCCCTCTTGCTAGTGATATTAATAGTAGTCTGGAGCTCACCTGGATCACTCATTCAGCACCCATGAGTCTTGTGTTCTGTTGTGGTTCATACCATTCCTACATTTGTTGGTGGCTCTTCTTTTAGATTGTTGTTAACTGTCCCAAGATATCTAGCCAAATAAGAATGAGTTAGATGAATATCCTGACTTGGCATTCATTTGTTGCAGTTCTGTGAAACAGAGTAAATACTTTCATAATGCCACATCAGCATCTAATGAAAATAGAAATGTACCTGCAGTGAATGACTTCAAAGAATTTGTTTTGGAAATGCAAAAAACTATTTCAAGCCTCAGAAATCAGGTAAGATGACATAAGGGACAGTGTCTAATTGTAGATTTAATTCATAATGTTTTCCTAACATTACTCCTCTTATGTTTTTAATATTTAGACATCCCCTGCAGCCAAAACCCACCACATAGTATCTCAAACAAAAAACAACACAGAACATGGTGTGTTATTATTCTTTATTTCTTTGTTCTTTTGAAGTCATAATGAAATACTCTACAATTAGACCCTCTTGACTTCTCAACCTAAAGTTTTGTGTAATCATTGTATACTAAACATGGAATTAGCTTTTCTCTAAAAATTTGTGTGTAGCGATTAATGAAATCTTTTTTCCTCTTCAAAATATATAGAATCTTTGTAAAACTATGACTAAAATGTAGAGTTTATAAGAAGTAATATGTCAAACTACTGCTGGAAACATAGTTAAGATCTAGATCACCTAGAGAAGACTTTTACAATGTTTACAAGTAAACTCTTTATTCAACCATAGTGGAATTCAGCTTTCAAAGTGTACACCATGCAGGAGATAGTCAAAAGTCCAAGCAAATATTTTTAATTAAGGTGGGGTTTTTTTTAAAAAAAAATGTCACCTCGTTTACAAAATATTTTTGACAGTTTAAATTTGTCTTTTCATATATGACATGCAGTTTGCTTCTCTTTGTATGTTGTAGCTGAATATTCCAGTGGTAGGAAAGATCTATTTTCTGTTAGCTTTCTTGTGAAAGAATGTCTTCAGAAGTATTACCTGTTTCTAGTCTTTTAGCATTATGAAAACCAAGCACCAAGAAGAAAAACCCAGATGAGTATTTATCATGGATTATGTAGCATAAGAGAAAAGACAGAATAGTTTTCAGAAATAAATCCCTTTCTTTGATTTTGTTAACTTTTTTGAATGTTTTCAGATAAAAAAACTTGAATCACGCCTTAGTAATTCTGATTGCACTGATGAAGATGGTAAATCATATTCCAGCAATGAAACCTGGAAAAGGGACCCTTGCACTGTGTGTGAATGCAAGGTAAGTATGTAGGAACTCATTTTAAGATAGAAAGTATATTAATTCCTGCTTCTAAAACAGCAATTGCAGTTTTGTGCTTGCTAATTTCTGAGTAATACATGCTAATTGTTTTTTATGGATCTTCAGTTATTTTCTGCAAAAAATTGCATTGCTCAGATATCCCCTCCCTTTACTCTGTTTTACAATCCAGCCTTTATGTATTTTTATTATAGTTCCATTTTTTTTGATGTATAGTTATATGGGTAAAATTAACTGCAAAGTGAGTCACTTTTTGGAAAAGTCTAGCATGAAAATGTATAAAAGCTCATCTGGTTTAGTGCTAGATTTTAATTTTCTTTTATCATGGTGAAATTTTAAATAAGGTAGTAAAAGAAATGTTAGTACTTGGTGCCCCAGTAGTGTCCAAACATTACATAAAAGGGTATATGCTGCTTCATTAAAAAGATGTAATGCAGAGAGAGCCTTAGCCTTTTCACTGTGAGTTTATGCTGAAACAAACTTCATGGACTTAATCATAATAGTCAGGATCTTAGAGAGGATGAATGCGAATATGTTCTTCAGTAGTGCAAAAAAAATGTATTTTGTCTGTGGAAGATGTAGCTGAGTATGTTTTGGTTTTCTTACTTTTTCCTGACACAGGTTGGTCAGATTACCTGTCTTGTGGAATCATGCCCACCAGCTGAGTGCGAAGTGCCTGTGAAGGTTAAAGGACGTTGCTGTCCAGTTTGCTTACAACAAAATATTAATAAAAAGAAGCCATAAGTCTGCTTTTTAAGAGTTTAGGGTGTATACTCCTCAAATCACATCAGTGCCTGCTGATGGCAAAACCAGGTAACTACAGTCTTAGCAACAGCAAGAAATCAAGATTTAAAATATTCTAATGGTGCTCTAACACTATAACATGGCATATTGTTTTATTTTCTGCCCATGAAGGTAAATCACAATGCAAAAATTAATGAAAGGGAAATTAGCAAACAGGTCAAAGTTAATTTTGTGTTATACTTCTCAGGTTAGACAAACTCAAACTGGTGCTACTTTAAAAGAACACTGTCAGGTAGTTTTAGGTACCCAAAATGACTGGGCATAGGACTTACTCTAACATGAACACTTTTATTCCTGTCTTTAATTAGAAACATTGGAAGTTTACTGTCCCTCTGTAGTACCAGTCTGACTTGATATTTAGCTCATTGTTGTTATTTAGTAAAACGTTGGGAAAAAGAAAACACGAGGTCACTGTGCCCGAAGCAATGCCGTATGGGACCAGTTTCTGCAAACATCAATGCATGGAATTTCTGCATCTGGACCAGCAAGGAAATACAGAAGACTTTTCAACATCCTTTCCTTAATTTAAGGAGCAAAATTAATCAAATTTTTCAAAAAGCTAGGATTAGTAAGGAAATATAAATAAATGTAATTGAAAGATACAAAAAGCAACTGAATGTAATTGACAGTGTTCCTCGTTCTAGGGAAACAAATGACAAAGTAGCATTTGATCTTAAAAGTGAACATAATCCTTTTTGTCAAAACATATGTAATTTCTTGGCAACATTTTTAAAAAATTTTAAATCATTGTAACATCGTCATCCAGTCCATTTCTAAAGCATGCTTCTCTGGATCTCAGATCAGCTCATGTAATTGTATGACCCTGTTTTGAAAATGTGAAAAGATGTCACATGCCATTTTGTAAAAGATTCCTACTGATTCACTGTGTGTATAACAGACATATGTTCCTGATTATATTGTGGCACTGTTTGTTGAAAAAAAAAGAAAAGTCAAAATCAAACATGATAATTAATTGTGGATTGACTACTTCTTCTGACAAGATATTTGATTTTAAAATTTTTTCAGTTTCCTCTAATACATATATATTTTTACCTCAATATTTGTAGCATTCATGTTAAAAACGGTCTGCTAATGGACTTTATCTCCCATTTAATAAATGTTTAACGTTATAGAGTATATGCCTACACTAGCATTTCAAAGTTGTGTACTGTTTAGAATGCAAACTGCATAATTTTTGACCAGGAATCATACTGAGTGAAGGACAACTGTCATACCTCATTTTACAGCATTTTTTTGTGTTTGTTCAGAATTGATTCTTTCCCTGAATACTGCATATATTAGAGTTTATGGCTCTGTCATTTAGTCCTAAATCAGGACTAGCTAGGATTAGAGCTGCTCCTTAGTTATATAGTTCACTGAGTTCTGAGTTTATTGTTCAAATTTAGGGGACAGAGATTTGGGTATCAAAGAAATCTGCACAAAATTAAACACTCTTATCCGAAACATTTCAGATTGTGCAAACAGACTGAATACTTAATTATTGAATGGTAGAACAAATACCTTTCTAATAACTAACCTAGCACAGCAATATGAAATCCACTATCATATTTTGGCACATAATTTCTCTGATTACTAACATTAATAATTTCTAATTTGATTAACTGTTACCATGACACACATTCAAATTTTGGTGTATCTTTAAAGCTTACTACAGAAACTTATTTCATACTATGGTAGGAGCAATATGTACAAGTGAGTGCTGTGTTACAGGTGTGTGGTACACATGGAACTACAATTTATATTTTTAAGAATATTTTAATTGATTTTATATACAATGTTTTGATTTATGTAATTTTCTATGTTAATACTTATAGAAATTGTGTGTGGCGAGCATGTTTGAGTATCATATGGTTCCTAAAGGTTGTCATTCCTGTGTTTCTTTGATACTCTGGTATTTTGTTGACTTTTGTTGAGAGTCCAAACCACATGTTTCATCCTGTAATTCCAACTCAGATGGAACTCCCATTGACCTATAGCAGAAATTCCTCAAAGAAGAGGATTGCAGAGCTAAACCAAATATAATTTAACTGTCCAAACAGTTAAATAAGGCTGTAATACATCCAGCTGGTTACCACTGGTCTTCTTTTATTCCAATTTTATATTAAATAAACTTTCTCAAGATTTTTGCTTATAGGAGAAGAGAGTTTCCATTTATACATTAGAAAATAGTACCTTATATCTGATTGTTCCTTTTCTTCAGCCTCCAGAGTAAAGTGGGAGGTTTTCTTCATTGTTCACTGTTTATTCATATGGTATATAAAATGGGCTTAGGAGTCTGGATATTTAAACAAGTGTAACAAGTGTAATGTTGAGTTATTTTCTGCCATCCATCTGTTTACAAACCAGGAAAAACAGGTCTTTATCCACAGTTTAAAATGTAATCAGTCAAGGGTTGTACTAGTTCAGTTTTATTGCAGTGTCTGTAGAACCAGCATTGAATTTAACATTTCTGAAGCAGTGGCCAATGGCTAGATGACCATTTCCTCTGTTATCCACTGTGAGAATATTGCTGTAATATGTTGCAAATTTTACATATTTATTTTCTTTTTTAATGTTACCTAAAACAAAGTCTTTGTTGTTGTTATTTTAATCAGTTAATTTACCAAAGAACTGTTTGCACTGTATAATGAATGCTTTTCAGTTAAAATAAAATGGGCCACATTTCCAAGTAAGTTCCAGTTGATTTTTTTCTTGACACATGTATTGTTTGCATTATTTGCTGAAGGTTCCAGGGTGTAGGCTTTTATCAAATATCCATATTATTTATCTTAATCAGGATTGTCATGATCAAGACTCCATTTCTGAGAACTGAGCAATAAGCTAAGGAGTCATATAGGTTCAGTAGGTTCTGTAATATTACGACACATAGAATTAAAGTGTCTATTCACTGTTTTCTTCTACATAGTGGGAAAAAGATACCATAGACTCACAAAGAATATTTAAGAAATACACTTATTTCTTAGCAAAGGTATGTATTTGAAAACTCTTAGTGCTGAGCCTTTTTTGCGTATTTTTTATGGGAGAGTCATAATAGTTACATACAAGTACATGTGTACTTAAGTCTGTTCTTACAGTTTCTTCACTTCCTCACATCATCAAATAGATCCAGCAATGATTTTTCTTCCCAAGCACTTGATTCTACATTCATTCTTTATTCACATCATTTCACAAATGAATATCCAAGTTCAGGGAATCTCAGCTCAAAATTAGTCTTCTGCACAAAACAGATCTTATTTACCTCATCTTGTTTCTCCATCACATGATATGAATTACTGCTGGACACATGATGAGTTACTCTCATCATGTGAGATGTTAGGATCTCTACAACACTGTGTCAGTTCCTTTGTCAGGTCCACCTGAAATTCATCTGTTTCTTCATAATGTTAAACAGTCATGAGTTTCCTGATGCAATATCATTGAAATTAATACAATTCTAAGTTGCCTTACAGTGAAATGGGAGAAGTTAAATTCCAAGAGATAAAGTTAACTGAGCTTCACTATAGGATGGCTTTGAGTATCGCATAAGGCAAATCTACATAAGCAAAACTGCAATAGTTCATTTGTGTATTTCCCAGAAGGCTGCTGAAACATACTGTTGCTCATCTGAAACTTTGATGAGTAGACTTCAGTCGCTATCCATTAAGAATTTGAGGGTAATTGGATTTTTTTCCCTCCAAACTCAGGTAATATTAGTTTGGCAAAGTACTGGTAAACTTTTTTTCTAGTAACTTAGATGGGTAATATATGCTTCTTTTAACAGATGTAGTCCTCAGATTCCTAAGACTAATCTACATAGTTACATTTCAGCAACTGTTTTGGGGTTTTTTTGCCACAAGACTAAAACAAGCAGAGACTTGAGGAGGTTTCATTTCAGTAATAACTTAGTCCAAACATGACAAGTTCAACACAATTAATTGCCAGTAAGTTTGCTAACAGTTATAAAAAAAAAACCCAAACAAACCACAAAGTGTAGACATTTAGAAAAAACTCTTGGACTGATACTGATATATTTTGAGGAAAAGTCAGTTATATATGAAATGAATCACGTAAATTGACTTTATTCCTTTTGGTTGATTACAGTTAAGAATCATTTGGCTGCAGTATGTTTAAAGTTGTCTTTACTGAGAGTGACCTCCCACAGTCAGTAACTTTGTTTTGTAAAATAGTATTTTCCTGCCTTTATATGATCTAAAATATTTCTCCTTATATTTTCTTTTGAATCCCCTACTAGTTTTATGGGGTTTGCCTATAGTATATAAGAAATCAGTATCACTACACTGATTTGTCTTATGTATAAGAAAAAATGAGATCCAATATGTGAAAAAACTTGTTAGACAGATTGTCAACAAAAAAATACCACTGTGAGCGTATGTATTTCATTCATGCTGAAAGTTTGTCAGGCTCTCAGTTGCAGTTATCCTGGCTGCTCAGTTTCATGCAGTAGTTCCTTTTCTTTCCTTTTTGCACACATAGCCTGCTGTGACATGGCAAGGAAACCTCTGCACCTCCAACACACTTCTTGTCTTTTGTGGTGAATGTATTCACTGTCAAGCCAACAGTGTTATGAATGGTCCTTTCACTGTGCTTTAGCATTCCAGCCTGGTAACAGATGGAGCAGGGCGCAGATCAGATATGTCTAAATTACAAGAAGATCTGGCCAGCTGTGTTTAGCTGAAAAGCTATGAATTGAATATCTCTGTTTAGATTCAGAAATGGAACCGAACAGCAATCCCTGCAATAAATGAACAAACTTAATTGCTGCATTCAGTAAATTTGTTTGTGCTTATTCGATTCCTCTCTCAGTGATAAAACTTTGCATTCCCACAAGTCACATGCTTTCAAAATGTTGAGTTGCCAAATCTCATTACCTACTTACATCTTTATGAGATACTGTCAGTTATTAACCTGTCTTGCAGCCATTCCAAGGATCAGAACAGTAAAGTGCTTCATGTCTCTTTTCATAGAGATGAGCATGAAAAAAGTATCCATAGGGGGTAAAAAAAGTAGTCAGAAATCATCCTGTGAAAGGACAATAAAGTATTGCTTTGTTTTGGTGAGGAGGAAAGAGAGATTTCATCAAGGGCTCTGAATTTTTTCAGGCAGAATGCAATAATTCATTAGGAATATAGGAACTGATTAAATGTACCAAACAACACAGATACTA